CCCCCCCCCCCCCCGCCAGTGCCCCCAAACTCACCACTTCTAAGAAGAAATCCACATGAGGCCTCTTATGTACAAAAAACCGGACGGGATGTTTGTCTATTACCACCTGTAAAGGAACAGGGAAGGGCTGGGGAGTGTCCTGGGCACCAGAGCACAGGCCTGAAGGACACACACCCCTACCCGCCGCCCCCCTGACCCTCCCCACCACCACCACCACCGCCTGCTTCCTTCCTTCTGGCTGCCGCTGGTCCCAGAGAATGGGGACAGGAACAAGACGCTGTGGGACTGGGAAAGGAAGTCCAGGTCTGATAGGAATAACAGACACGACCAGCCCGTTACCTCCCACCCCCACGCACCTTGAGGATGAAGTCAGGGGGTGTTCCAGGCCGGACAGTGGGCCTCAGGACCCCATCGTGATGGGAGTGGATAAGCGTCTCATCCAGATCCAGCACCAGGACCTTCCTCTTCACCTGGCCTGAACCACAGCGGCAAGGGTCATACCCTCCAGCCTCCAGCGCACACCGGGAACCCTCCCTCACCTTTCCGGAGTCTTCCCAGCCAGCACACTCACCGAGCCGGTTCCGGGACACAGGAGATAAGGGAAGGATGTCATATCGGACAGTTTGGTACTGAATTATCTAAAAATAGCAAGAGAGGGGATTAGAACCCTTGACGAGGAGATCTTGACAAAGGAACGTTCACCATGTGCTGGGCATTGAGGAACCGACTGACGATTACCTCTTTCAATTCTCAAAAGCGTAATGACAATCATATTATACCAACAACAGTAACAGTAGCATCGCCGCGTCTACTTCAACAACGGAGAGACTGAGGCTTGGCCAGGTTGTTGCCTTGTGTAAGGCCACATCGGATTAAGAACTGTCTCATTTGGTCATTTGTCCCCGCAGGTAGAACGAAAGCCTGGCGGGAGCGCTCAGTCCCAGCCGTCTTCCCAGGACAGTCACAGGGTGGGCGGTTAATATCAGAGTGGATGCAGCAGTGAAGCTGGGGCCGCTCCAAGGCAGTCGGACCTGAAACCTGCCCTCTCAACCGTGATCCCACCCCGCTCGGCAAGAACAGAGACATGCGACCCCCCTGCCAGGAGGTGCTTGGGTACCTAGGGGGAATGGAGGACAAGGAGGGAAGCCAAGGGTTGTTGGGTCAGCTAAGTTCCTCTGGCTGGGGGCCACCAGGCCTATTTTAACCAGCCACCTGTCCATTTCTGTCTCTACCGGCCAAGTCACAAGTGGCAGAGAACCTCCGCTCTCCGCGCTGCCTCCTTATTCCGGTACCCAGGCAGGACAGGGCGCACTGGGAGGCCCCGCCCACCAGGCTGGCAGATAAGGTGGCAAGAAGGCCAGAGTGAATTAAGGGCTGTGAGAGGCATCAGGAGGGGACAAGGACGTCACCACCTCAACCTTACAGCTCCTCCAAGCCTTCTCTGGAGGCTCCTGTTTCTAGCACTCCGTTCTCTTCCACGCAAGCCTAGCAGTCCCTTCCTCTGCTCTTTTCTTCTAGACTTCAGTCCATCCCTAGTCCCCAGCCTGGCCAGCACCAGGCTCCCCCCTTGCCAACCACGGCGCCCTGTCCCCCGAGTGTCCAGGCACCTGCCCTTCTCTCCTCCCTGCAGCAGGATGAGGGCCGCAGCAGCTCGGGTGTCCGGCCTGCTATCTCGGGTTGCACAGGCTGGGCACGTAGGGAATGCTCCAGGCATCTGCCAGCGAGGGGGTGGGGGCGGGGGGAGAGGCCCGATTGGAGGGGAAGGAAGGGGAGACAAAAGGCTGTGGGGTCAGAGCTTGCCCAGAGGGGAGCAAATCTGCCAAAAGCTAGCCTCTGGAGGGCCTGGAGTTCTACTCTACTCCTTGCATCCAGAACAGAAATTTCAGGGGCGCGGGGGGCGTGCTCAGAGCCCAGGCAGACAGAACAGTGACCGCCGTGTAGAGGAAACCCCAGGAGCCAGCCCCGCACACACCTCTTCATCTTTGACCCCAAATTCTTCCGGGCTCCCAAAGCATTTCAGGTAAACAGCCCTGCCTATCGTTGGGGCCACCCAGACACGACCCTCACCTTGAGTCAGGAAGCGGAAGGTGTACGTAGACTAAAGGAGACACTGAATCCGAGGCAGGGCCCCTTCCCCCAGGTCAGAACGTCATCCACGACCACCACCACCCAGGCCTCTCTGGAGACTCTCTCGGACCTTCATGGTGTTACTGACACACACCAAAGAGCACAGGGCCAGAGAACTTCCGCGCGTCAGCTCACCCAGTTCTCCCCAGTGGCTAGAACACGGGAGCACAGTCGCTATAGGATGTTAGCCTACGGGAGCTCTGACCTTGGAGAAAAGCTCATGGGGGAGGGAACCCAGAGATACGTGGGCACGTGCAGAGCCTTCCCTGCCCACAGGACTCCTCTCAAACTTGGGGGTCTCCTGGCAAGGCAAGCCCGCCCTCCCCTTCAAGCCTACAACTGCCAAGCACTGTCTTCTCGCAGACACCCAGACATCAATGTGCTCCTGTCCCTAAAGCCCAACATAAAGCCAACCTTCTCAGTCCCAGGGCCTCCATGAACCCAGATGCCCACACTACAAATAAGTTTTCGGGGCCCTTTGTGGAGGAGTCCCCGTAGAGCGGATGGCAGGGGCTTCTCCCGAGTTCCCACCTGTGTTTGTCATGTAGGCTCGCCCACCCACACCTCTTCCCTGCCACATAAGCCCGACTCCCCCTTGTTCCCAGACCTAACACACATGGAGGCTCTTAGTAACGGAAAGGTCTGTCACAAGCCCAGGCCGACAGAGCCGGGGCCATCAAACAGGTGTTCCCCTCCCCTTGGCCTCTCTAACAACTCCAGCTTTCCTAAACGGCGCCCCACCCACCACCCCGGCCCCCAAGAATTGCCACATCCAGTCTCCAACTAGCCCCCCCCCCGATCTCGGTTGTCCTCCGAGGGTCTCCCCCTCCCTATTCCACCCCATGCCCAGCTAAGGGCGCCCCAACCCTCTAACGGGAAAAGCCGCCGCCAGGTCTCCGTTCCGAAGCCCAGAGGCCCGACACTTTCCGAAACCCTGTGAGCACCGCTGACACAGGTTCCCACCGCCACCAGCGCCCACCCAGGCTCACCGTGCGGATCTGCCTCCGCAAAAGGTAAATGAAGAAGCTCCAGAGCTTGGCGGCGAAGGCCACGAACGTGCGCAGCCCCAGCAGACACTGCGTCCGCATCATCCCGATGACCCCGGCACCGCCGGCCCCGGGGCCCCCGCGGCCCAGCTCCGCCAGCCCCCCGGGGGCAGCCCCCCGCCTCCGGGAGGGGGAACGGGGGCCCCGAGTGGCAGGAAAGGCTGCAGAGAGGGGCACGGAGCGGGCGGCTCAGAAAGCCACCCCCGGCGAGGGGAAAGCCCAGCGGAACCGGGAGCTGGGGGACAGGCGTGGGCAGCCCGCGGGGGCCCACATGGGCGGGGAGTGGCACCGACGGCTTCGCTGAGGTCGCGGGCCGAGACGGGTCGGGCTAGGACGGGGTCCTCAGAGACCGGGAGGGAAGGGGATGCAGAATTGGGGGAGGGGGCAGTGGGGGAGGGGGCCGGGGAGAAGGGAGGGAGGGAGAAGGGAGGGGGAGGGGAAGGGGGGAAGCAGAGGTGGCCCGCTGCGCAGGCGCGTTAGGGGGCTGCCCGCGGGAAAGGGCGGGCGGGGGCCGCGGCGCGCGAAGGGCCGCGGCGGCGGCGGCGAACGGGCAGCCTAGGCGGAGGAGCGGGGAAGGAGGGGGAGGGGGAGCCGAAGGGCGCGGATGGCTAGACCGGAGCGGCCTCCCCCTCCCCGAAGTCGGGGGTGCCTTAGCCGCTGGGAAGCGGGGCTGCAGCCTCTGCAGCCTCTGCAGCTGGATTTCCCACTCTGACAGGCGCCATTTTACCGCCCTAAGGGCTCCCTCCTCCTTTCTTCCCCCCTCCTCTTCCCCTCTGACACTGCTTCCGGTGGTGACGTGTATTCGCTTCACCGGGACTAAAGTTCCCCTTCCTCGGTCTATGGGGGCGGGTAGGGGAAAGCGGAGTGTGCTCCCGACAAGGCCGCAACTTCGCGCAAGCGCGGAAGGTGGCAGCGGGGCGGGCCCCGCCTAGAGCGCCGTGGGCGGGGCGGAGTGACGTCACTCGTCACCCGAGTTTCGGGCCGTCGGAGGGGCTCGTGCGACCGCCTGTCCCTCCCGCCGACAACTGCCCCAACGGCTCATCCGGCCCCAGTCGTGGAAAAAATGTCCTGCGTCTGTGCGCCGGAGCTCGGGAGGGGCCCCTCCGCGTGAGCGCCCCCCGGGATATTGGACATAATCACCTCTCATTCCGGACCGGGCCGGGTCTCGGTTGTGGGCGGACTCATGGACGCCCCGCCCCTTTCGCCCGGAGGGGGCGGGGCGTCGGGCCGTGACGCCATCAGAGGGCGCCAGCGGAGGGCCCGGCCGCGAGTGGGAGATGGAGTCGGTGTTGGCTCTGCGCGGCCTGGTGCTGCTGCGGGGTGAGGGCCAGAGGCGCCGGGGGTTGCGAACCGGGGCTCAAGGGGCGGCGGCGGAGAGGAAGAGCCGCGTGCCACCGGCGAGGGGTGGTCGCCAGGGGTCGTTGAGGACGGAAACGTCAGCGTTCTCACGCTGGTTCTCCGTCCCTCGCTCTCCCCAGACTCCGTGGAGTGGGAGGGGCGCAGTCTCCTGAAGGCGCTTATCAAGAAAGCTGCGTTGGGGTGAGTATCCCACCGCGTTCCCCCCGAAGTCCCCGGGAAGGAAGCCTGGGCCCAGCTCTGTGACACTCTCCTTCATCTCTGCCTTAGTGGGGAGCAGGTCCACGTCCTGGGCTGTGAAGTGAGCGAGGAGGAGTTTCGTGAAGGTTTTGACTCCGGAGTCAACAGCCGGTAAGCACAATATTGGGAGAGTGGTTGCTGGGGCGGGGGCGCGGGCTCCAGGGAAATTGCCCTGCGGCGTACTCATGGAAGGAATGGAAACGGGTCTTTCTGGAGGCGAAGATTCCCTTTTTTTTTTTTTTTTAATGTTATATTTATTTCTAGGAGAGAGAGAGACAGATCTAGCAGGGGAGGGTCAGAGAGAGAGGGAGTCACAGACTGAAACAGGCTCCAGGCTCTGGGCTGGCAGTCAGCACAGAGCCCGACGCGGGGCTCGAACCCACGAACCGCGAGATCATGACCCAAGCGAAAGTCGGACGCTTAACCGACTAAGCCACCCAGGCGCCCCGGGAGGCGAAGATTCCTAAAATTAGTGGCGAGTTAATGGAGAATCCAAAGCATGGGCCGTAGAAGCAGAGGGAAACGGAGCACAGTAAAAGGCTGACGGTATAGTTTCGCACCAGAAGCTACTGGGGGATAGAAATGAACATATTCTGTGTTTTGAGGTATTCAGAATCTGGTGATGGTTAGTCCAGATTTGTACCGACACTGGCTGCAAGCTACTGAGTGATTTGTTATAGAGGCAAAGGGAACAGCCTGTGCGAAATTAGGGGCATCCAGGAAGGCACGCCTGTTCAGGAGGTGGAAGAGCTTCCTGAGACCAGGCAGGTAGCAAAGGGTGTCAGCGTGAAAATGAGTTCAGCTGTTATACCAAAGGCAGTGAGAGTCATTTCAGCATGTGAGAGGAGAGTGACAACCTCATACCCGTTAGACTGCTCCAGCCGCCAGTGTGGAGAGGGGGTTTAGAAGGGGGCAGCCTGGAGACAGGAGGGAAGGCTCCTGCGGTGACACTCAGGGGTGTGTGCGCACGCGCGTGCTGAGCAGCAGTTACGAACCAGGTGCTGTGGTAGGTAGAGTGAATGAGACAGACGTGATCTCTAATGTACCTTAGGGAAAGGCGATGGGGGATGACAGGTCTGCCTTGAGATAGTAGCAGAATTCCGGGGGAAAGTAAGAGGACTCTAGCAGGTAGAATATCCAGGGGTTACAGACTGGTGTGGAATGGAGGCCAGGAGACTCCGGAGCTCACCGGTGTGCCTGGATGAAAACGATTACTTCCTGATGTAGATAGCTCCGTAGTTTACGTCTCTGTTCAGCTCTGATTTTTATCAGGCCCTGTGACAGAGGCGAGCCTTCGTGTTAAGGGGGCATTTACAAGAGAAGCAGAAGATAGAACAGAGGTGTCCAGAGACAAGTTTGGCCACCAGGAATCCGATCCCTGGATTTCTAAGCCACGCCAGGCTCCTTTTCCTGTGGAAAAGAGCTGTTTTATCTCTAGTTAGTGCCACACGACCTAATTCTTTTTTTTTTTTTTAAACGTCTTGTATTTATTTTTGAGAGAGAGAGACAGCATGAGCAGGGAAGGGTCAGAGAGAGAAGGGAACACAGAATCCAAAGACAGGCTCCAGGCTCTGAGCTGTCAGCACAGAGCCTGACGTGGGGCTCGAACCCACGAACCATGAGATCACGACCTGAACCAAAGCTGGACTCTTAACCAACTGAGCCACCCAGGTGCCCCCCACACGACCTAATTCTTGATCTTCTCTAAACTGTCCTATGGGCAGGAACCATGTTCCATGTCCTGTCCTTTCTCTGTTCCCCCAGGGAATGACCCAAGTCAGGCTCCACTCAGGAGATGCTTGATGGTGATGATAACTAATGTTTATCAAGCATTTCGTGCGTGTCAAGGATTGTTCTAAAGATCAAACGGTTGGGATCCATGCATTCGTTCTACAAATGAAGAAGCAGTTTTAGGACAAGTAGTTTATCAGTTAGTGGGCTCGGGTAAAGTAAAGCCACGCTTGCAGCTCAGGGCTTCCTGACCCCGAAGTCTGTGCTGTGTACATGGTCATGTCTCTCTTTTATTATTAGCTTTAAGTCGCAGAGAGCCGCAGAGATCACAGGGTGAAGTTCAAGAGCAAGGGGAGGGGGCAGTGTTACTGAGTCGGTCTCCTGCTTTCCCTTCCCAGGCTGGTTTACCATGACCTCTTCAGAGATCCTCTCAACTGGTCACAGACTGGGGAGGCCCCTCCGGGGGGGCCCCTGGGAGCCTTGCAGGTCACGTGCAAGAGGGCCGGCCCTGGTCCTGTCACAGTTGCGCTCGACTCGCTGAGCTGGCTGCTGCTCCGCCTCCCCTGTGCCGCTCTCTGCCAGGCCCTCTGTGCCCTGGGCCGCCAGCACGCCCACCCCGGTGAGGCCGCCCTCGTCACGCCTGCTCACATACCTTCCCCTGCCTGGGAATGAGCCCCTTGCCCTCTGAGAAAGAACGCAAGTAGGGATCGCCACGCGGGCCTTATTCCATCTCCTTAGTACTTATTGTAGTTCCGGACTCCTCCGTAACGCCATCTACAATCGTTCGTTTCTTCCTCTTCCAAGTTCGTTCTTACTCATTGGTTTTGTTCGGTCACGCAAGAAATAGGAATTGTGTGCCATGCATCAGGCATGATTCTAGATAACAAGGAAGTACAGGCTACCTGTAGTCAGGTTCTAATCTTCCAGGAGCTCAGAACCCAAAAAGGATACAGACAAGTAAGCACTCACAGGACAGTGTAATAACAGCCGTGATGATAAAGGAGCATACACAGAGCGCCCTAAGGAAAGAACTGTCTGGAAGAGGAAGGGGTTAGCCAGGCAGATTTGGCCAGACCAGGGGCCCTGGGAGTAGCCCTGAAGTATACCGTGGGTTCTAGAATGGACCATGCAGTCAGCTACCCAACTTGGTGTTAAGGTGCTTGAATTGCTCTGTGTTTCAGTTTACTCTGTAACAGTGGGGGGAGGAGTGAATTTACAATATTAGGGTGAACTATTTGGGTTATTTTAACGTTAATTTTTGAGAGAGCTAGAGTGTAAGCGGGGAGACGCAGAATCTGAAGCAGGCTCCGAGCTGTCAGCACAGAGCCTGACGCAGGGCTCGAACTCCCGAACCCTGAGATCGTGACCTGAGCCAAAGTCAGGTTAATCAACTGAGCCCCCCAGGGGCACCTGTGATGAGCCATTTAGAATCGCTGTTCTGAAAAGAAATTTTTTTTTTTAATTAAAAAAAAAAAAGAATCGCTGTTCTGGTAGGTCGAACACGGAGGAGGGTGAAGTGGTAGCGATTTGACGTGCTTCGGCCTGAACACACGACATTTGTGAGGATCGAACACGGAAGCATCTAGTACATGTGTGCGCATGCGCCCCGCAGAAGGGAACAAAGGCACTGACTGGGATCACAGTCAAGTTCCAAAAGCCAAAAGCCGCAAGTAGTTGAGCGTGTGAGAGATGAGGCTGGAAAGTAAGCAGAGACGCAGAAGGAAGGACTTAACTCCGTCCCAAAGGCCATGGAGCAGGAGCTCCCAGGGACTGAAGTCAGGGTGGGCCTCTCTCAGATCCTGGCTCAGATTCACGCCGGGGGCTGGGGGGGCAGAGGACGCTCTGCAGCCGGGGACCTTCACCACGGGAAGTGAGGATTGTGGTGGAGCCACGACAGAACGTGGGGCTCCCGTCCCTCCTCCTCCTCCTCCGTCCCCGGCCTCCAGCCTGAGTGTCCCCCCACCCCCCGTCGTGCCCACACTTGTCCACGCTTGTCGTCTCTGCAGGCGGCGGCCCCGCGGGGGAGCCGGTGCGTGTGCTGGGCCTGCTGCATGGCGAGCTCCATGGCCCGGGCCCCCGGGGAGCACTGAGCAGCCTCGCCCAGGCCGAGGTGACCCTGAGCGGCACAGGGGGCCAGGCCTCGGCCCACATCCTCTGTCGGAGGCCACGACAGCGCCCCAGCCACGAGGTCAGGAGAACCCCGGGGAGCTCTGGGGGTTGGGGGCAGACCAAAGGGGGGTCTTGGCCCAGAGAACAGGGAGAAAGCTGCTGTGACGGAGCGCTTCCCTCCTAACCCTCCCCGCCGCCCGGGAGGTGACTGTCTTGTTACCCCCTCGCCCAGAGTTACAGAGTAAGTGCTAGAGCCAGGATGTGAACCCAGGATTGCCTGATTCGGATCCCGTGAGCTTAACCAAGAGGACATCTTGTCTTCCAAGAAAGGGCAGAGAAGGACTGGGCGCAGTTGTTGGGGGAGAAGGAGCGAGTCCACACTAGAGCTTGGAGGGAGGGCCCAGAAGGGAAGAGCGGGAGCTGAAAGCCGTCACACTGATGATGGGGCGGGGGGTGGGGGGGGGCCCAAGTTCTTCTCTCTGGTTTGTTCCATGGAGTGGGAAAAGCCTCTGTTAATACTCTTTCTTCTCCCCAGACTCTGTGCTTCTCCATCCTGCCTGACTTGAGCCTGGATCTCCAAGGGGGGCCCCCGCTTGAACCCCACCCAGATCCTCACAGGCCCCCGGTATCTACCAGCGCCAGAACAGGGAGTGGAGTGTGGGGGTCTGGTGAAAGGAGAGACTGAAAGCTGCCGGCGTGGGGGTCGGGGGGTCAGGGATCCAGCCACGCGGTGGCAGCATCCTTTGTACCTGCAGGTGGACCCCACAACCCACCTGACGTTTAACCTTCACCTGTCCAAGCGTGAGAGGGAAGCCAAGGATAGCCTGACGCTGCCTTTCCAGTTCAGCTCCGAAAAGTAAGGCTGGGGACGGATGCCTGGGTTCCTGACCGGAGCCCCGCATCTGGGCCTGAGAGGCGGGGTGAGGGCACGTTATTGATTAACCTCTCAGACTTTATAGGGGCTGAAGTCCGCGTCCGGAGACAGGCCTGGGGAGTGGTTCTCTCCCCACTCCTGCCCCAGCAAGGCTAAAGGGCCTTTATGTTTCTCTCCTCGCCATCAGAGCCTTGGGTCACAGAGCAGCTGGCTCTGGGCTGAGCCAGATGAGACGCTGGGGGCGCGGCCCTGCCCCTCTGTGGGCGCAGTGTTACCGGGAGGACAGGAAGCTGCCTGGGTGTGGCAGGGACAGGCTCACGGCAGCTGCAGCGCATGCCTGTTCTGTGCCCGGCGTGTGGGTGGGTGAAGCAAGACCGAGGCAGGATCCTTGCCCTCCAGCGCTGAGAACGTAGGGTGGGGTTAGGAGAGCGGCGTCCGTATCTGCCCCGCTGCCAGCTGGGGCTTCTGGGCTCAGGAAACACGCGGGTCAGAGAAGGGACTTGGAGCAAGAAAACACGGAAGCCAAAGAGGAGGGAGGCGGTCGCCAGGAAGAGAAGATGCGGGCGCCCACCCTCCCCACCTCTCCCCCCAGGCAGCAGGCGCTGCTGCGCCCCGGGCCCGGCCAGGCCGCCGGCCACATCTTCTACGAGCCCGACGCCTACGACGATCTGGACCCAGAAGACCCGGATGACGACTTGGATGTCTGACTGGCGGACTTGACCAGCCTGGAGTCGGAAGGGAGGAAGACGACCTTGGACCCGTGACCATCCTTGCCTTGTTTGCCTGGCCGTACCCGTCCCTGCCCCGCCTCTGTCCCTGTGTGTGTGGAGGGCCTGCCCCCCCACACTTCAGAGTCAGGAAGAAGCTTCTAGGCGGGACAGAAAGTGGGAGGGGGCAGAGGGACAGGTGAGAGAACAGAGACCCCTCCCCTCGCAGCCTAATAAAGTCTCTATTTTTTTTTTTTACTAAGAAGGAAACTTTGGTAGCCGCGTCAGCGAGAGGAGGAGTGGAAGGGGGTGAAGAACGGGAAGAGGGAGGGGGGCCAGACACCGGAGGGGGGGGCAGCAGTGTTGGGGCCCAGGTGTCCCGGACCGGTGCCCCAGCAGGGCCTTGCACACCGTTGGTGCTCACTACGTGCTGGGGACCGAAGCAGGCGCACTCCTGCGCTCCCTGCGAGGATCTGGGTTGAAAGAACGCAGGGGCCTCGAAGGGGGAGCAACCGCCAAAAAGCCTACTTTCCAAAAGTTAACTTTTTTATTCTGTACAAAACACACCCTCCCCGGTTTTTGGGTCCTTCGCCCACCCCCTCGGGGGAACTGTACACGGTGCGGGCACAGGGGGGCGGCGCCTCTGCTCTGCCTCGGCCCCCCCCCCCCACCGGCCGCCTCAGGTACCCCGGCGGCGCGCGGTCGGGCTGCCAGGCCGGCCCCGGGGGTCCCCGCTCACACGTACTCCTTGGCAGAGTTGGGCTTCGGGTAGGAGTGGGGTGCGCGGTACCCAGTTTTGCTCCCACTCCCGGGGCAGGAGCAGGAGAGCAGCGCGCCTCCCAGGATGACCAGGGCGGAGCCCGCCCAGCCGATGAAGATGGCGGGGCCGAACTCGTACCTGCGGGGAGAGGGGGGTTCGGGTCAGAAACGCGGCCCTTCCCGGTGGGGATCCAGACCCGCCGCCCCTTTAGGAGCCCGGCCTCCCGTACTCACTTCACATTCATGGGCACCAGCGGGTTATAAAAGTCTGTGACAATCTGGTGGCCGTACCAGGAACAAGCTGTCAAGGCAGCAAGACCTGGGGGCGAGAATGACACGCAGGTTAGGACCCCTCGCGCACCCTGACACCCTGTCGCCGCGGCTCGAGAGGACGGCCCGGGGCCCGCGGGCCCGCTGCTCACCTGCCACGATGAAGATGATGCCTCCGGTCATGGCGATGCGGGCCTTCTTCACTTTGTCGTCGCCCCCGCAGCTCGTACACTTCATGCCCATCGTCGCCACGAACATGGCCAGGAAGCCCAGCACCAGGGACACCACCATGAGGGCTCGGGTGGCCTGTATGGCCGCTGCGGGGAAGGGGGAGGGACGCCCTCATCGCGGGAAACCCCTCGGGCGTCCAAGCCCCGCGCGCAGCGGGAGGCTCCCGCCCTCTCCGGCTCCGCGGCCTTCCCGCTGCGCCCCGCCCTCTCTCTGCCCCAGGACCCGCCCGGGGCGCGAGGGTTTCGGCGAAACCGCCCCGGCTGGGGCGGGCGGGGGGGAGGGAGGGAGAAGGGGCCCGCGGGCCGGGGAGGGGGGGCAGCGGCCGGAGGCCCCCCCCCAAGGGCCGCAGATGGCGGCCCGCGCGGCCCAACTCTGACCCCCACTATCGCGGCCACCGGGTCTGTGGCTTGAGCTAATCGGCCGATAAGATTACAGGCCGCAGGCGGCGGCCCACGTCTGACGGCGCGCACGGCCCCTCCGCGGACCCGGCGCCCCCCGCCCCGCGCCGCCTTTTGTCCGAGAGAAAAGGGCGGGAGACAGAGGCCGCCACCCGCGCAGGGCGGCGGGAGAGGAGAGGCTGGGGGGGGGGGCTGGGCCGCGGAGGGGGACGGCCGAGACCGACGTGCAGCCCCCTCCCCACCGCCCCACCGCCCCACCACCCCGGCCCGGCCGCTTCCGCGCCCCGCTCCCCGGCAACCCCGGGCGTCGAGGCCCCGCGCCCCGCCCTGCGCCCTCGGCCCCGGGCGCGCCCGCCCCGTCGGCCCCGCGGCCTTACCCGGCAGGGCGAGCACCGAGTCGTACATCTTGCAGCTCATCATGCCGGTGCTCTGCGTGACGCAGTCCATCCACAGCCCCTTGTACATGGCCTGGGCCGTGATGATGTTGTCGCCCGCGTACGAGCTCATCTGCCACTGCGGGATGGCGGTGGACGCCACCAGGCCCACCCAGCCCAGCAGGGCCAAGGCGAAGCCCAGCAGCTGCAGGCCCGAATTGGCCATCTTCGCCCTCGGAAAAGCCTGGGGACGCCGGGCGGGCGACCCTGCGCGAAAGCGGACCCGCCTCGGGGGGGCAGCCCCACAGAAAGAGACGAGTCACCCAAAGAGAAGTTTGGGGTCGAGCGACCAGATCTTTTTGTCACTCGGAAACAACAACAAAAGCCCACAAATCGGTCCTTCAGGCGGGGCGAGGGTGTCAGCCGAAGGGTCGGGCGACGCGGCGGACTGGTGGTGGGAAGAGCGATCCTGCAAGGCCGGGCCGTCCCCCTCCGGCCTCCCCCGCGCCCCTACCCAGACAGAAGGCGGAGGGGCTGTGTGCGCCCGGTCCTGGGTTCTGGAAGTCCCCGAGGTGCCCTGGGCTGTCGGCCTGAGGCTGCAGGGCGAGGAGGCTCGGCGGCGAGCGGGCAGGTGCGGGCGGACAGGTGCGGCGCACCTGAGTATATGTACGGCGGCAGGGGCGCGCCCCCGCGGGCGCCGGGAGCGCGGGGGGGAGGCGGGACCGGAGGGCGGCCGAGGGTGACCTGACGTCACCGAAGGGACACTCACCTGAGCCGGAAGTCCTGGCCCCCACCCCTCCTTGCCCAGGTGAAGAGGAAGAAACCTGAGCGCCAGGGTCACGCCCCTTCTCCTGCCCGGCTTGGATTGCGGGTCAGGAGGAGGCGGGGGCTGCCCCCGAGTTCCAAGCTGGGAGTCCCCCCCCCTCCAGGCCGGACTTCCCTGGGCACCGGGACGCCCCTTCCCTTCTCCCCGGCAGGTGCGCCCCCGGGACTCTGCGGCACCGGAGCCGGGGGACGCCCTGCGCCCCTCGGCCCCGCCCTCCCCACCCCTCCCCTCCGCCGAGACTCTTAGTTTCTGCTCTAGGCGCTCTTTGTCCTGCCCTATTTTCGCCCCCACCCTCTGCTCCTCTGCTCCTCCAGTCGGCTCTCCTGAGCGTCCCCACCTTCTCCCATCCCTCAGAACTCCCCTGTTCCGCGGCCACCTTGGATTCTGCGTTCGCAGGGCCACCCCCCAGCAGCGCCCCGCGGCCGTGCCCCCTGGCCTGGCCGCAGCGTCCTATCCTGCCCTCCGGCTGACACCTGGCTTCCAGGCCCCCTCAACGCCCCCATCTTCTTGGCTGTCCTTTCCGATTCCCTATCCATGACTGCGCCGGCCCTTAGTGCCCCACCTCCAGGGGGTCACTATGCCCCCCCACCCCCCGCCCACGGCAAGGGTCCTTCCCAGCTAGAGGAAGAAAACGCTGAGGCCAGAAATCAGCAGAGGGTGGGGAGCCGGGTCAGGCCTAGGTGACATTCTTGGCCACACCTGTCGTTCAGTTAGTTCCCTTGGAGATTTTCCAAACCCGTCTTCCACTTCCCCCCAGCCCGCGCCGGCCTCACACACACTTCCCTTTCCTTCCTTCCCAGCCTGGACCCGACTCTGTGCGCCTTCCCTGGTCCTGCGGGGCTGTCCGCCCTGGAGTCTAACTTGGAGCCCCTGCTCGGCCGAGGCCCCGAGCGCCACCTCCCTGCCGCCCGGGGCGGGGGGGGGGGGGGGGGGGGGCGGCCTCCCTACCCACCTCTCCTCTGCTCCCAGACCCACACCTTCCCGAGCCCCTCTCCGTGTCTCTCTCCTATTTTTTCCCTCCACTCGCTCACACTTCCCATTTTTCTTCCTCCTCTCAAACATTTCTCTGTAAGGCTGTCCTTTGATGCAGTAAAAATATTAAAGGGCCCCTGTACTGAGCTAATTACCTGCTTTTCTATAAAATGCAGAATTTAATGAACTCTTCGCAATTCATTTTTAAGTACTTTTTCATTGATGCTGAGGCTTTTTTCTAAAGCTATCTTATTTTTTATAATTTATTTTGAGAGAGAGAGTTTGAGCAGGGAAGGGACAGAGACAGAGGGAGAGAGGGAATCCCAAGCAGGCTCCGTACTGTCAGCCTCTGAGCCCGATGTGGGGCTCGAACCCACAAGCAGTGAGATCATGACTTGAGCCAAAATCGAGTCAGAAGCCCAACCAACTGAGCCACCCACGTGCCCTGCGTTTTTGGGTTTTTTTTTTTTTCCTAAGGTGCTTTCCAGGTCCAAAATGTTATGTTTCTCGTTACTGAAGTATATGCAGCTTGTCGCAAGTTCACTGGCATGACCTGAGCCGGCCCACGACCTCCACCTCTTGCCTGCACACACCCCTGCTGCCTCCAAACCCGCCTCCCTACCTCCCTGCCTGTCCTCCTGAAATCTGTCCTCCGGGAGTGAACTTTTTTGTCTGTTTCAAACTTAGGTCTTGTTACTTTCTGTGTAAGATCTTTAAAACAGCGCACACCGTGGGGCGCCTGGGTGGCTTAGTCGGTTAAGCGTCCGACTTCGGCTCAGGTCATGATCTCTCACAGTTCGTGGGTTCGAGCCCCGCGTCGGGCTCTGTGCTGACAGCTCGGAGCCTGGAGCTGCTTCATATTCTGTATCTCCCTCTCTCTCTGACCCTCCCCTGCTCCACGGTCTCTCATCTGCTCCTGCTGCCCCACTGGGGCAGTGTGGTGGCTCACCGACAGAGCCTCGGCCACACGAGCCTTCCCGCTGCTCCTGACCTATACTTCTTTGACTACTTTCCTTCACAAACTCTGTCCTCCAGGCCCGGATGCTCTTTGCCATGTCCCTCTGCCCTTCTTCCTCCACCCGCTAACCGTCACATCTCTCAGCCATCAGCTGGAGTGTCGCTTCCCCTGGGAGGCCTGGCCTGACCCCCGCACCGCACCCCAGCCTGAGTCATACCCCTCCGTGAATGCGCTCACTCACCGCTACTTGGCCTTTAACTACGACTTCTTATCACAGAAACTGTTTACTCTGCGTGCCTATTTATTCAATGTCAGTCTTCCACTGGTGATGCCTCCGGGTTTATCGCCAATAAATATTTGATGAATGAATGAAAAAAAAAACTCTACAAATTAACAATATTTTCATCCACTTGTTCAACAAATATTTCCCGAGTGCCCATGTAAGGCAGCGGGCCCTGCGCGTGACGCCAGACACAGATGAGGACACTGCCTTCCCGTCACTTGGATTCTAGAGGGAGGAAGCAGACAATAAAGACGTAAACAAGGTGGCGCATGTTTTAAAGGCAATAAAATCGGGCAGTGTGACGAGGTTGGGTCCACTGGAGGAAGACCTTTCGAGGAAGTGACTTGCAGGGAACCAGCTAACAGAAAACCACGTCGGTGAGGGCAATGGCAAGTGCTGACAGCCTGTGTTGATGGCCCATTTGCGATTTCATGGTACTCACTTATTTTTTAATTATTTTGTCGTGTTTATTTATGTTTGAGAGAGACAGAGCATGAGCAGGGGAGAGGCAGAGAGAAAGGAAGACACGGAGCCCAAGGCAGGCTCCAGGCTCTGAGCCATCAGCACAGAGCCCGATGCAGGGCTCGAACCCATGAACCGTGAGATCATGACCTGAGCCAAAGTCAGACACTTAACCAGCCGAGTCACGCAGGTGCTCCTCCTGTGGTATTAATTCAAAGCAGGATCGCTCAGCCTCAGCACCACTGACATTTGGGGCCAGATAACTCCTTGTTGGAGGTGAGTGTCCTGTTCATTACAGGATATTTAACAGCGTCTTTGACTTCTATTGATTAGATGCCAAGAGAACCTTCCACCGAGCCCCAGGGTGACAATCCAAAATGGCTCCAGACATTGCCAAATGTCCAGGTGACCGACGGGAGGGGCAAAACGGCTCCCGGCTAAGAGCCACCGACTTAAAGTGTGGCCAGGCAACGTCACGGCTGCTTTGCTCCGGTAGCCGCCAAGTTGGGTACAAGGAGCAAGGAGACGGATGGTTGGACTTGACCGCGGTTGGGATTTGGCTAAAAAGAAAGTGGAAGGAGTTTGAAGTATCTGCACGAGAGCGTTTTCTGTGTTCGAGCACGGATGTAAGTTGGGTCGTAAGGAAAGTAAACACTCAAAGGGTTGGGGGAAGTGGAAAGCAGGCTGCGCGGCGTGGAGGTCTCCGCGAAGAGAAGGGAGCGCCATTCCTGAGAAAATGAGCTGGCGGCTGGGAGGGGACCGTGGGGGGGTGGGGGGAGGCTCGAAGGCATGGCACTGGGGGAGGCTGTTTGGGGAGACACCAAAGCCCAGGGCAGGGACCTGAGGAGGGGCCTCCGGAGGCTATGGCTGGCTGGAGCCTCACTGGTTTTGAAGTCGACAACAGTGATGACGGGAAGAGAAGGGGAGGAAGACGAGGAGCTGAGGAGCCGGTGGTGAAGCCATCAGAGAATGTGGGGGAACGACCAGGCTGGAAGCCGCTGGCAACAACCAGACCCCCAAGAGGGTGATACCCCTGCAGATGCGATCTTAAAGGAGTGGAGCATTTTTTTTCCAAATGTTTTTTAATGTTTTATTTATTTCAGAGAGAGAGACAGCATGAGCAGGGGAGGGACGGAGACAGAGAGACGCAGAATCCGAAGCAGCTCCAGGCTCCGAGCTGTCAGCACAGAGCCCCACGCGGGGCTCGAACCCACGAACTGTGAGATCATGACCTGAGCCGAAGCTGGATACTTAACCGACTGAGCCACCCCGGCGCCCCAAGGAGCGGAGCATTTTGAAGGACGAAGGAAGAGGAATGGTCTAGAAGTACTGGTGGGGGGAGGTACTCCAGCTCCCGCCCCTGAAACATGAGAAATAAGACCAAAAATGAGCCTCTACTAAGAGGCCCTGATGGAGTGGCGCCTGGCGGTCCAGGCAGTGGAATTTATCACTCTTGATGTCCGGGGTCGTGAGTTCAAGCCCCACGTTGGGTGTGGAGATTACTTACATATATAAAACTTCAGGGGCGCCTGGGCGGCTCAGTCGGTTAACCTTCCGACTTCTGCTCAGGTCATGATCTCACAGTTTGTGAGTTCGAGCCCCACCTCTGACTCTGTGCTCACAGCTCAGAGCCTGAGCCTGCTTTGGATTCCATGTCTCCCTCTCTCTCTGTCCCTCCCCGACTCATGCTCTTTCTCTCTCAAAAATAGATAAACATCTAAAAAAATAAATACAACTTAAAAAATAATAAAGAGTAAGACATCACAAGCAAGGACACGTTCTCCCAGGAACCGAAGTCCTTCGCTATTAGAAAAAATCCATCCATGTTAATCCACCACGTTAATTGACCAAAGAAATAAAATTATATGGTCACCTCCGCTGATAACTTTTAAAAAGCATTTGATAAGGTTCAACACCTACTTATGATAAGAACTTCTAGCAAACAAAGATTAGAAAGGAAATTCTTATACCTCATGAAGAAGTTTTAGGCTCAACTCTTTTATTTTTGGGAAAAGGATAAAGAAAGTCACCATTACTGCTTTTGTTTGGATCAAGTTCTGGACGTCTCCATCACTGCTACAAAGAAATACAAGAACTAGGTAGCGCAATGATTGAAAGGGACAAAATAAAACTGATTTGCTGATGTTATAACTGTGTACTCAGAAAAGTGAATAGAGGGGCGCCCAGGTGGCTCAGTCGGTTAAACGTCCGACTTTGGCTCAGGTCATGACCTCATGGTTTGTG